TTATTGAAACATTTTATTTACGAACCATGTCCGAAGGATGTGCGTTGTGCCTTTTGAAGCAGGAACTGTCCAATTCATATTTTTTTTTTTTTTTTAATTAACGGGAAACGGTAACTACACCTATATTTTTGGCCTTACTACCAAAGTCTAAATGCTTCTTTACTCTTTGACTCTGTAACCTATTATTAATATTAGTAATAATCTCCGGTAAATGTTGTTCAATTGCTCCTCTGAAACACACAAGTACACCACGCGCACGACGCTTTCCACAAACAATAAAACCATTTTGTTGTTGTTTATGAAGCTCTCTAGTCTACTAGTAGAGCTCATAGGGTCTATGTCCCCCAGGGTACTACCCTGATAACTATCTGATATGATAATAGGGTTAGGGTTAGGGAGTAGGCATAGGCGACTCCCTAGATACAATAATGTAACCCAACACAAGAGTAGGGTTACAACGCGATCCTATTCTTTTCTTTGGAGGAGCCCACGAGTGATTCACTCAGGGCGGTTTTATGGTGCGTTTTTCGAGACTAGAACTTCCAAACTGGGTTCATTCTAAACACGAACCTTTCTCCGCTATCCTTGGACTTACTATGTACCACAATACTATGTATTAAACTAATATAACCTGTTACAAAATTTCGAAGCGACGAGCGGCGATATTTCGAGCACCATTTCTGGTGACCTGTGACGCTGGCTTTCCCAATCTGCATAGGGATCGGCAAACTTCGGTCAGCTTTAGCAGTGCGCTGCGAGCCCTCCGATTGGTCGGTGAAAGATAAGCGCCACATCCACGTGCTATTTCTCAGGCCGATCGTTATGCACATTGGGAAAGCCAGCGTCACAGGTCACCAGAAATGGCGCTCGAAATATTGCCGCTCGTCGCTTCGAAATTTTGTAAGAGGTTATATTAGTTTCATACAGAGTATTGTGATACATAGTAAGTCCCAGGATAGCAGAGAAAGGTTCGTGTTTAGAATATACCCAGTTTGGAAGTTCTAGTCTTGAAAAACGCACCATAAAACCGCCCTGAGTGAATCACTGAAGGACTCCTCCAAAGAAAAGAATAGGCTATACCGGTATACCGGAACGTACCCTGGCAGTACCCTGGGGGACATAGACCCTCTCAGCACTAGTACTAGTAGCAGGTAGCAGTGCTAGGGAGGTAGGTTTACTGCAGAGAGCAAGTAGTATCACTATCAGTGCGTAAATGCCGCGCGCAAATACGCACATACATTTCAGGGCCGTAGCACAGGAACATCACGGCAAATTATCGCGCGTAGCAATGGTGAGAAACAGTCGGAAACGGGCGAGTAGTGTCGCTTAAACGCAGTTTTTTCCACACTTCCTGTAAAGTGACATAATGTTTCTGGGTGGAAATGAACAAACAACACCTTCAAGAACACCCCTGTTGATTTTAAAGGGCCTACCCCCCACATTTACGAAAATGACATATGCCTCAACCTGGACATCATCTCTAGCCTTGAACCCAAGCCCAAGGCGGTGTTGTGGCTAGTCTTGACGTCATAGGACCTACGACGTACCTGCGTTCTAGCATTGTGGACTTTCAGCAATTTGGTAACGAAGATAATGCTTCTTTACTCTTTGACTCTGTAACCTATTATTAATATTAGTAATAATCTCCGGTAAATGTTGTTCAATTGCTCCTCTGAAACACACAAGTGCACCACACGCACGACGCTTTCCACAAACAATAAAACCGGTTTTTTGTTGTTTATGAAGCGCTCTAGTCTACTAGTAGCGCTCATAGGGTCTATGTCCCCCAGGGTACTGCCGGAACGTACCCTGGGTACGGTCCGGTATACCGGAACGTACCCTGGTAACTATCTGATATGATAATAGGGTTAGGGTTAGGGAGTAGGCGTAGGCGACTCCCTAGATACAATAATGTAACCCAACACAAGAGTAGGGTTACAACGCGAGCCTATATTCTTTTCTTTGGAGGAGCCCCTGAAGGATACGCGCCACATCCACGTGCTATTTCTCAGGCCGATCGCTATGCACATTGGGAAAGCCAGCGTCACAGGTCACCAGAAATGGCGCTTGAAATATCGCCGCTCGTCGCTTCGAAATTTTGTAAGAGGTTATATTAGTTTCATACAGAGTATTGTGATACATAGTAAGTTCCAGGATAGCAGATAAAGATTCGTGTTTAGAATATACCCAGTTTGGAAGTTCTAGTCTTGAAAAACGCACCATAAAACCGCCCTGAGTGAATCACTAAAGGGCTCCTCCAAAGAAAAGAATGGGCTATACCGGTATACCGGAACGTACTCTGGCAGTACGTACCCTGGGGGACATATACCCTCTCAGCACTAGTAGCAGGTAGCAGTGCTAGGGAGGTAGGTTTACTGCGGAGAGCAAGTAGTATCAGTGCGTAAATGCCGCGCGCAATATAACGCGCGAGTAGTGTCGCTTAAACGCAGTTTTTTCCACACTTCCTGTAAAGTGACATAATGATTAATGTTTCTGGGTGGAAATGAACAAACACCTTCAAGAACACCCCTGTTGATTTTAAAGGGCCTACCCCCCACATTTACGAAAATGACATATGTCTCAATCTGGACATCATCTCTATGTCCTCTATCCTTGAACCCAAGCCCAAGGCGGTGTTGTGGCTAGTCTTGACGTCATATAGGACCTACGAGTACGACGTACCTGCGTTCTAGCATTGTGGACTTTCAGCAATTTGGTAACGAAGAGAGAGTTTCGGCCTCTATCAATCTCAGCGACAGCAAATTTTGATATCTCTAATATGCGAGGCTCATTTTCGTTGGTGTCTGAAATTCCTCCTGCAAGTTTGTGTGCAGAAGTCACGAGTAATTGAACCGCAAGCAGCAAAGCAAAACAACACAGGCGTTCCATTTTGTTCTAAGCATAAACTGGGAAAGCCAGCTGAGTGTCGCTAGTGTCGCTCTAATATTTTTGTACATTACTGACACCAGGTGGCATTGGCGCTGGCTTCGTGGTCGTCAGAAAACTTCTGTTGTTCTCTCCAAACTACGCTGGTAAGTATTAAATTTTTAGTAGTAATCAATTATCAAAGCGTGTGTTTTATTGAAGTGTGTTGCCACTTATACTAATTCTACTTTTGTAATAAATAGGCCTACCCGTCTTGAATAAGGCTGATACTTGTTTTAATTCGTGTGTTGGCTGGCACAAATGAAATGATATACACAGGAGAATGTCAACAATGTAATTGCTGACGCGTACGATTATACTTTATAGGCCTACGCACGAGATGGCAATGGAATTTACAACCAAAGTTTTAATGTTTCTCGCCTCTCTTTTTCCTATTATTAGTAATAACTTCCTGTCAATGATGTTCAAATGCTCCCCTGACTCACTCTGTAACGCCCAAGTAAGTTCACTCAATCCTAGTTTGGGACCCAGCCCTCATTTTCGCAAATGTTCCATACTAAGCCGGGTGCTAAACTAGAATTGCGCCCACAAGCTCAGTGTTCACCACACTCGCATCACTGTGCACTAACAACAAAAATATAGAGCAGGTGGGAAAGCGTGAGTGCCAAATTCGCACAGCACTTGCTTCCTTGAACCCCATCGCAGCACAAATACACAACCAATCACCTCCATTTTTGTAGCCATTCTGCCCCAGGGCTCGAGTTTTACCACAGCACCGACGACCAGTGCCGAGTTTAGCCTCCTTACTTGACGCCGTACCATGCTCAGTAAGTCGTAGACCAATAAATTGTGCCCCAGAAATCGTTATAAAATGATGGTGCTATGGTACTTATAGGATAGCATCAGATTACAAAAATGTCTCTATAGCGAGCGTATAGGGTTAGATTTGGGTTAGCGTTAGCATTGGAATTTGCCAGGGGTGATTGGATGTGGTGCACTAGTGGCATATTCTATCTCATAGCATTTTTAAACTTTTGGGTACTGTTCGCACGTTTAATGTAAATCTTGGTATTGAAACTTTTATCTAGCTCTACCATAGCTATAATAACGCAGCCCTGAGATATATGACAATGCTGGGAGATCTCACGGTTACCCCAAACAGTTTTATTACAGTTCTTATACCCCATACAGACTACGAAAGTTAGCACGCGTCAGACGCGCGTTAACTTAGCACGCGCTAGCTCTAGTACTATAGCCCGCGTTCGATAAACTGCCGCAGGCCGCGTTCGATAAACTGCCGCAGTCTGCCTGCGGCAGTTTATCGAACGCGGGCTATAGTACTAGAGCTAAGCACGCGCTAACTAGGAGCATACAGACTGCATATTTGACGGTTGACCCTACTTTAAATGAGTCACCAGTTCTCCCACCGCTCAGTTCCCTGCTCACCACGTCACCCTGCAGACAGCGAGGTACAGCGAGCATGCGTGCGAGCGAGCGTACGTGACTTAAATAAGGCTATGCGCATGCACAATTGCGAAACTTAACGCGCGTTAGGCACCGATTGCGTACAGACACAGAGTTGCAGCGGGATAACTTGGTGCACACCAAGATAGCCTGCTTCGTAAGGGGGGCTAACTTGGAGCAGGCCAGCACGTATTTGGAGCGGGATAGCGTGTACACACTGCAATTTTTAGCGCGCGTTAGACTACGCTAACGTGCGCTAGTTTAGTGCCATATAAAATTCGTAGCCTGTACGGGGTATTAATTGCTGTGCTTCCTTGAAAATCTCAATGATATCCACAGCACTAAATTTCTGCGGCTGCCCTGTTTGATTTGCCTCCACACCCTGTTCATAAATTCCTTGTGTACGTGTACCCTAATACCTAAGGTAGTAATTGTACTGGTCCCCCTCCCACTTAGTTGTGTCCTAAAATTTCAGTTTACATCAAAAGCAATACACTTGGCCTAACAAGTTGTCATATATGCCCTTCTTGTCAATTTCCTGTCCATAATTTTACTTTGAAAACGTGATCGTAGAATGTACTCTAATAATCAATGTAGTACTTTATGAAATTTCATCTATAGGCATTACTACGAAACAGTGCAGATTTTGTGCGCTTGGGACAGATTGACCATACTAAGCACAGAAATGATGAAATCCAAGGTCCACCTCTTGTGAGCTTTTAGTGTCTACAAAGATCTGATAGCAACTAGTTGTGATCGTAGAATTGGTCAATTAAAAAAAAAAAAAAACCCTATAGGTAGAATTACTTTGATTTTAGCATAAAATAAAGAATCATGTCCTTCACGCCATGGGCATGTGTGGCTGCTGTGGCAGCAAGATAATGGAACTTTGATCATACAAAACAGATGATTCGCTCACAGTAATCACACCCTTTTCTCCATATTTTTAATTACGTTGATTTTTACAATAGTAGTGCAGGTTGATAGTATGCAAATTTTTTATTCTCATTTTCACAGAGATTTGTAAGCATTTTAATGTTTAATTGCAGATGAGTTTGTTATTGGTAATGTCTTTCATATTTTTTACAGTTTGGAATACTTGAAACATTGATACAAAATGGCTGAAGTACTGAACAGTGAGTTTTTGGTAAGTGTGCACTGTTAAATAAAAATACATTTGTTTGTGTAATTCGACTTTAATGAAATGCAATAAATAGCAGCACATCAAAAACACTATCAAATATATTTTGCTATATACTAAATACAAAATATCAGCTAAATTGTAAATAGACAAAAATAAGGTCACAATTTCCAACTAAATTCAATTTTGAACATGTTGCATACAAATTTCTCTTTACTAAAAAACACATTATTCATTGATAAATGATAGTTTTGCTATTTACAGAAAAGGTGTCTTATAGCACTATTGAAGCAAGGTTAATAATTAATTAATTAATTAACAAAGGAAAATGGATATAACTTCACAATCCACCTTTTGGATACATCTAACCAGATTAGTGGAATGTAGGAATTTGTAACATGGCACGGTTTAAGCAAGCCAACTTTTAGTATAGATGTTCCTGGAATTGATACAAATCATGTTCATAGTAGTTTTTGAAAAAGATTGCTAAATGGACATCATTTTATGGATACATCTTCATTAGACTATAATAGACTTTCAGGATTCCTCTCTGTAGAAATCCTGCCAACAGTGCAGCTTAACGCTAACTGGTTATTTCACAAGCTAACTATACCTGCAGTATCACTTTTATTATAAAAAAAAACAATTAACAAATGTGTGATGGTTGCTTAGGTACTGTTAACTAAACATGACTAGACGTGATGCGGCCATGATGCCGAGGCGCGCCGAGGATTGACACTTTGTGTCTTCCAATCACAGCCTACGTTGCACCCGTCTTTTATATTTTTAAATATGGGGACCCATTGGACCATCAAATCGCCGATCTCAGGAACTAGGGCATTCTGCTATGTTAGAACGGTTTCCTACGATACAAAATCATATATTAGTTTGCCACAAATACGAAAATAACATGCTGTTTAGCGCACTGTGCTACTTCCTTCTGTTGAATTTTCACATCTCCGTAATCAGAATAAGCCTCCGCTTTCTTCGTTGATGGACAGGAATGGGGCGTCACCGACGTGACCAGTTACTGTGCCTACTGTCTTTCGCCAGCCTGTTTACTTGTCGTAAATAATGAAATGTCTGGCCGATGCATTTCGAATCGAAGTGGAAAATGTTCGACATTTTCACTCGCTGTCGGAAGTAAACGAGTGCGTCATTCATTGAACATTGAAGTTTTTCTTCAAATTAAATAATTCCGAAAATCCTTAACCGCACTACTCGATTGTTTTAGCCAATGAACGTAGCTGTGTGTGTGACGTCTTGCCCGCGCGCTTTATGCTTGGCTTAGCGGGCCTCGAAATGGATATCGGAGGCAGATACCTCGCAACACGCGTGTTTGTTTACATATAGCTTTGTGACGTACGGTGTTCGGGAGTTCTGCGATGATAACCTCGTAATTCCATGGAACATTTTACCAACTTAGTGGTGTCAGTTAGTGACACGGATATGTCACAGTAAGTACTAACCGTATATGTTTCACATACGTTCACCTATTTTGCACACAGGCGGTCGATCATTGTGAAAAATTGTGTGAATATTTATTTTTATTGAGACATTCCAAGTGCCTGTGCTTTCAACAGTCTTGTACGTCAATGCACGTGCGTCAAGAGCCACAAACTCAACACAATTTCATCTCTGTTATTGTTGACGCCTGAATGCGTGATTGATCAGGGAGGGGGTGCATGTAAGAGGAAGACATTTTCTTTGGGGTTCCGAAAAACACAATTCCACTTGACAATTTCATGGGCCATTTCAATTGGAAGCTCTGCATAATGGACCCCCAACAAGCCCTTTGACTGACTAGTCAAGAAATTCAAAGGTCTGTATATTGCTCTTATTTAGAACAAAGTCTTCATTGTTATCTTCTAAAACTACAGACCATCTGCTGACCGCTGTGGAGACGTGCGCCGGGCTTCGAATTTGGCACACGTCTCCACTGCGGACAATGCTTCATACTTGAACATCCCCGCGGTCGCGTGCGCATATCCCGCGGAACTGCGCGTCTCATCCGCGCGCAGCGCTCAGGATCAACAGCAAAGCTGTGCCACGCAATCTTGTATCATGTCTCTCTGGATTTCAAGCATCATGGTATAACAACAAACTTGTGCATAAATATATGCATTTACTTTTCATAAACTACACTAATGTTGTAACCAATAGGTAGGAGTGAGAATTCATGTGATGTTAAGAATGTATGTACACCAGTCTAGCCTATATACATGTGTTATCTGTAGGAACGGGCAGGGTCTTATATGCGCATTGGGAAGTACATGCCAGTTTGCTAGAGCATGACAAGCGTGAACTGTTTAAAGGTGTGCTGGTAAGCCTGGTATGGTATGTGCATGGGTCTGCACCATTTCACAAAGCTGTAACTGGTTTTCCTACGTCTGCTGTATGTATATATGAATCACGGAAAAAGAAAGCATGTTTCCTGTTCATATATGATGACTGGTAAAAAAATCAATGTATGATATTCTTATGCGAGCAGTAATGTTCATAACTGCGTGTGTTTAATATTAATGACAGTGGTACATACGCACACTGTTCGATAAAGATTTATGGCCCTCAATGATACTGTGTTTACCACTGTCCTCAACTCATGCTGCTTGCATGAATCTGTACCTGTTACATGGCCAATGTGTTTTATGGAAACCATACAGCTCCTCGTCATTGCATAGCATTGTTTCATATAAGATGGCACATTTTTAAGGCTTCAGTGTTTGAGAGCGATAGGTTTGTGTTTTGCTGCCGATGCGTTCATATTTCGTGAGTTAATGAGTAATTTTGCTAGAGTGCTCATAGTGCACACTCGGTCTGCGTTAATCATTTATTCTGCTGAACTTGCTTATGAACATATAATAACTTGGAATGTTTCAGGAACTGACGCGTGATGAGAAAGAAGCATTTATTAATCGTCGTGTGGAAATGATACGACTAAAAAACGAGAACCTTAAGAAAAGACACGAGGTATGTCAGAATTTTAATTTTTATTATGTAAATGCTTTATTTCAATATTTCATTAATGTATAAATATTTTGTAGGCATACATGATACCAGGCTTTTGAAGTGTACAGCAAAGCTCGTGAATTGAATCAAAAGTTTATTGGTGTTAATACACTCTAGATTGAATGTGATTGGTTGTTTGAAATGAAATTATAGGATGGATTTCACACTCATGTTATCTCTATGCAAAACTCAATGTGTTTGCCTACATTTATTAGGAAATTGAACGTGACAAGCAGAATGCAGAGCAGCTCAGCAAGTTGGCACCACATCGACATAGCGATGAAGTGCGAGTGAGCCCACCGAAGCAATCAGCCGGAATTGGTCGTGGCCGGCGACTGGCTGAACGCAGCAAGCAAGCTAAAGAGCTTAAGTCACGGGTAACCACAGTTCTCCTGGTTTTATTATTGATTAGTGATTACGAAATAGCGCTGGTGCGTATGCTCTAAATTTGTTCATGTAAAATTATAGCTGTTCAAATTTATGTTCGCAAATTTACAATTTCAACACTTGAAATTATTAAAGATTTTTATATAGAAATCACACATTGTATTTACACTCTTAGTTTCCTCTACAAATTCATGGTAATGTCATTGTAGTGCCTGGTTTGTACTAGAGAGAAAATTTCATGTTTGGCAATGATAATAACAGAATGTGAGAGGTGCACAGATGTGCATATTAGATGTTATCAGAAGCGTATAATGACAAATAATAATGACAATTTGACATATAATGACAATTTAACATGACAATTTTATAATGACATATTTGACAAATAATGACAATTTGTCATTATACGCTCCTGATGTTATGCATGTCTCAACTCTGTATGGAGAACCAGTCTCCTGTTCTACTGACGTGTTTTTGAATATTTACATGTACATGCAATATTAAGCCAAAAATTTTGTAGAGATTTTTGGCAGATTCGCCCTGATTGGCTGATGACACTTGGTGTACATTTTGTCAGCAACACGAACCAAAGCGCAGGGAGTATGAGAGGGATCGGTCGCCACAGCAACGCGATGCGCAGCCTCCTCGGCACAATCACAGATATGCTCCAGACACAGATGACACCGGCGCGCCGCCACCTGACCCCTCGTTCAACTTCCTCGCTGATCCTGGTCGCCATGGAGGGTTTCGGAAACACGGTGGCCCAACGAGACAGGAGGGCAGCAGGAGGCACATCAGCAACTGGGGTGGAACGAATTTTGGCAACGTGAAGCAGAACATTAATAGGATGAAGGAGCGAGAGGATTACGTACGTTCTGCTTGTTGTAGTTGTTAGTCACCATTTAGCGGTCGTTCACAATTATTTTCACAAGCGTGCAAACCGTACGCTGGGGGGAGGGGGTCAATGCCCGCCGTACGCTTTCAGCATTTCCGAAAAATGTCGATCCATTTCCCGCGCCGCACGCCCCAGCCGGCATCGCGTGCATCCTCACGGCGCGAAGCGCCGACCCCCGGCCGGCCCACGCACCGCACGGGCCCGCTGAACGAACGAACCGAGCTAGTTAGCTAGCAGCCAAGTGCAGTGTAAACAACCGGCACGATAGCGGGTAATAGTTCTAGCCGCGCTGGTGACCTGGATCAATTGTTCCAGGGTTTGCATGTAATTCATATACATGTATCTCTATGTAGAATAGTGTGAAAAAAAATCTACATTTTTTTTCGTACACTTAGGGGGGAAGGGGGTTGGTCTCGAAAAAGTGTACTCTTTGTACACTTATGAAAATGTTGATAATTGTGAATGGCCCCTTAATTTGTGTGTAATTCATTGGTTAAATTGACCAAGTCACGAATTTTCTATGGTGTATATTTATAAAATCTTTGTTGCAATTTTTTTACATGAAAAGTAAGTACTAACGGCACTAAATGTATCCTCAAGTTCTTACCCGATAAGATTGTTTTTAAACTAGTTAAAAATCCTAAAAATCTGGGCGATTTGATATATTGATCACAATATTAAATCAAGAGCCCATTAACCCCAGAGCGTACAACGCTGAAATAGGAAAACCATGGTGTCGTTTCAGCCAAATTAATAAAGTTTACCTACCTTATTTTGAGACTTCTCTACCGGAATATTATGCAGGAGTCCTAGCTAGCCAATATAAGATCAACCGCTTGTCTCTACGATGTTCCTATGCCAAGATATAAAGCGATAAAATCAGTCACTAAACGCGGGGTAGGCGTGTTACTGTGTGATATGGCGCTAGGATTACCTAGAAGTACTCGATTTTTATCGCTTTATATCTCGGCATAGGAACATCGTAGAGACAAGCGGTTGATCTTATATTGGCTAGCTATGACTCCTGCATAATATTCCGGTAGAGAAGTATCAAAATAAGGTAGGTAAACTTTATTAATTTTGCTGAAACTACACCATGGTTTTCCTATTTCAGCGTTGTACGCTCTGGGGTTAATGGGCTCTTGATTAAATGCTTGCTATGGGCTATGTATGAGTCACGAGTGTTTGTTCACATCGAACGGAATACCACAATAGGAAGTATAATGCAGCAATTTGACCATAAAAAGTGAACAGAATCACTTACATTTTGTGAAAAAGTGGACAGAATTCTTTTACTTTTAATATTTATGGTGATATAATCACGTTAAGGGTGGCTGTTTAGCTGCTGGTCAACGAGGTTCGACGACTTCCCTCCATTTTTTTCAGTATCATGTGGGGGAGAAAAACTATGTATTACTAATTCATACTTGATTCCTCTCGTGTGTGCATAGGAAATGTGGTCATGGCTATCTACAACATAAAAACCTTTAGGGTCGATTAAATTTATGATTTGAAGTTTTTCGTATTTAACGGTGGAACAGTACTATAGATGTGCATGCGTGCGGGCACGTACGGTTTGTGTGATGTATAACTTGTACATGTTCCTGCACTGCTAACATTGGATCTAACACTATGCCAATGCTGGCTACAAGCTGGACCCTAAAATAACACTGTATAACATGCTTGCTATTTAACAGAAGTCGGGAAGAGATGGCCCAAAGTCCAAGCGTGAGTTAGAGTTGAGCATGACAGGAAGAGAAAGACAGGAGTACGAGTCATGGAAAGCAGAACGTGACAGGGTAGATCTTGAGCGGTTAAATCGTCATGAGCGTTCAGGCAAACGTGAATGGGATAAAGAGAAAGTCGCCATTGTGTGAGTACATTTTGGCATTTATGTTATGCAGGTAGGACTATACCATGAAAAGCTTTTTTTCAAATCTTAGTGAAACCTTAGTATGTTGCTTCTAATGGAACCCAATAACGTTTTATCATCCATTCAAAATTACCTAAGATAGAAGGTAACAGGCATGTTCATACTTGCATATTCTGAAAGGAGTACATCTGTGATTTAATTTAGTCATGTACTGATTTCTTGGCAGTGATGACGTAGCTGACAAACAGAAGCCACAGCAAGAGTTTCAGCACAGAAGAGGTAGGTGTCTTTGACCCCCCTGATGCAAATACAATTTTATTGTATGCAATTCAATACTACACCCAGGTGGGTACTGCTGGTGATAGGGAAGGCCAATGCAATATCACATCAAGTGTGAAATAGAGACTTCTGTAGAGATATATTCTACATTTCTTGTGTCACCCAAAGATTTCTTCTATATTAAACAATGGCATCTTTGATCCATCAGCGAGCCATCCATCCAAAGCCGTCAGTGTTCTCACAGGTATAAATGTGTTCAATTACTAGGTGGTCCTACCCAACACAGAACTGGTCGTGTTGGCAGTGGCCGTATTGTAATCAAGGATGGTGATTCCCCCGCCCGTCACCGTGACGTTGAGACAGGTAGAGAACCTGGTCACAGAGGGTGCATTAACCACAGCATGTGTTTTTGGTGCACATATTGCCATCAAGAATTACGTGGTTGGCATGATATGCAGTCGCTTATGGAATACTAATCCAATTATTTTATTTGGTGCTTGATTTATGTATAACTATTGGTGGAGATGGAGAGTGTTTCATCATCAGGAGCTAGATAGTAGCAAATTAGCAGGTCTACTATTATCTAACACCTGGTGTGCATGAAGTCAGTGTAGTACATACAGTTACAACATGTACAGACAGCTACATATACGTTGTATACTGTATTTCACATGACATAATTTCATCAGTTACATAAATAGTTACCTTCCTTGGTGTAAAAACTAATGGCTATTAACATGATTAATATTTACATGCTCGTTTACAATAACATCATTTTGTTCACTGGTTCCTTTAGGAGTATGATAGTCGTTGCTAACCTGCTTATGATGAAATCATCTGGAGATTGTGTTTATGCATCATAACTTGCAAAACTCTGAACAGATGTTAGTTTTATTAATTAATGTGCTAAGTAGATCCATCTTGTGAACCAACCTACTGGATGATAAGTTGAGAGAACTTACTGGTAATGCTTTCAATTGAATATAAATGCAGATTACGGGAGCAGTGGTGTGTCGCAAGTCGACACGAAAAAAGATGTCCAGCAGCATGAAGTTAGCCATTCACGGAGAAGAAGAAAGGACGAGCCACACTACGCATCTAGAAATAATGATGAGAGCCGTAGAACCAAGGCAAGGGAGAGCGGTGCGGCATACCCTGCGACCCACTTCAAAAGTGTTGAAAGTCCCACACCAACAGGCATTGATAGATCTACCCCAGATCAGAGAAATAGTGATGTGAGGCATGCATCTCAAGTGGGCAAAGAAGATGTCTGGCAGTCTCCCCCTAAGGGTGGGAGCACTCTACATGCTGCTGTGGGTAGCCATTGGCCTTCAAAAGTTTCCATGAAGATGTCGGAGGTCGTTGTGACACCTAGTAATGCTAGCCAGCCAGCTGAAGAAGTTCTAGACGAGGAGGTTGATGATGGTGAAGTACCACAAAATACAGACAGGCAAGCAATTATAAAGCTTTGATGTGAAAGCTTATATATATCCGTAACTGCAAAATTTAATTAATTTCATTACCCACACATGTAATTTACTAACTTATAACAAACATTAATCATGTTTTCAAAATTTCACACTCCTTGAGACTAAGCCTCCTAAATATATAAAACTATGTAGTTAATAAAATTAGGATGAACTGTTTGAAATAAATATTCAAATTCACTACGTAAAAATACAACAGCCGTGATGACAAGATCTTCCTAGTTTACTATGGTTAAAACCATACTGTTACATTACATTTTTTATACATACCTAACCATAAAATATTTCAACTAATTTTGTTGATGCTTGTCAAGTCGGAAACAACCATTCTAAAAAGTTGCTCAAAGTAATTTATATTTCGTGGCAGGAATATCATGACTGAAGAAGACCAGATAGTTATTTGCATCAGCAATAACCTTGTGGGGAAGCTGACATCCAGGGAGCAGCGCACTGCCAAGAACAGGGAACGCAGACTGAAGGCCAGGGCCAAAAAGGCCAGTAGTCGGAGCTCTGTATCTTCTTCAAGTAAGGACACAAATCAATTACGATTTTGTAAGAGTGAGTGGCCGCACGTACATGCCTGTAGCTTCCTGTCTTTATTATTGTTAAATATTGCCCCGTAAGTTTATACTTGGTGCATGGTCAGGTATTGTCTGGTATAGAATGTCAGTTAGTGTTTTGTAAGGCTTCCATAATCTATGTTCAGGTGGTGAACTTGAAGAGGGAAGAGCTGGTGACCCTTTTGATCGAGAGGAAAGGGACTCAGCAGACGAGGACGTTCAGGGCATACAATCTGACAAGGTCACTAAGAATCAACCGAGTGGCAAGCGTGCTGATCAAGGAGTGGAATGTTCAAGAAAGCTGAATGGTGAACCGCTCGAGGATGATGAAGATCAGTGGGAGGACGCCACGAACACCAGCGGCTCTCTCGACTTGTCCGGCCGTAGTGAGGAACCGCCTTGCATCGAAGCCACAGCTCCTCAAACTCCCACTACACCGCAACGTATGAAAACTCCCGAGGCTCGCGTTCCTGTGCCTGACTGGGCTGCTGCCATGGAATCTCCACGGTCGTCAGTGGGAGACTCCCCTCAGCAGTACCCGGCTGTGGGCAGTGACGATACAGCACAGCTTTACGGGGAGATCGTTAAGGCTGAACGTGGGGAGGCCGAGGCTAATGCATGTGTAGAAGGAAACCCAGTAACAGTAGCAACAGGTTTGCTGACTGATGAACCAGCAGTTGTGAGTGGCTCAGAGGCACTGTCAGCACAGATGCCTCTGGGTGATTCCCTGAAGACTGGAATGCCAGGGGCAAATATTCTGGAGACAGAGACACCAATAGCAGAAGTTATGGGAAATTGTACACCTAAGAGTGATGCTCCAGAGACTAGGATGCCTCAGGGCAATGTTTTGGAATCTGGAACACCTAAGGGTGATGTTCTGGAGATTGAAATACATGAGGGTGATGATGCAGAGACTATGGCATCGGAAGGTGATGCTGCAGAGACTGGGGCACCTGAGTGTGATGTTGCAGAGACTGGGGCACCTGAGGGTGATGTTGCAGAGACTGGGGCACCTGGGGGTGATGCTGCAGAGACTGGGGCACCTGAGAGTGATGCTGCAGAGACTGGGGCACCTGAGAGTGATGCTGCAGAGACTGGGGCACCTGAGAGTGATGTTGCAGAGTGTGTGGCACCTGAGAGTGATTCTGCGGAGACTGGGGCACCTGAGTGTGATGCTGCAGAGACTGGGTCACCTGAGAGGGATGCTGCCGAGACTATCACCTCAGTGCCCCAGTCCCTCGCCCACATTCCCTCTCAGGTGCCCAAGTTCCTGCAGCATCCCTCATCAGGTGCCCCATCTCTGCAAACATCAGCCCTCAGGCTCCCGCAGATCTCGCAGAATCACTCTCAGGTGCCACAGCACTCCACGCATCTCTCTCAGGTGCCCCAGTCTCTCAGCAATCAACTTCTCAGGTGCCCCACTCCTGCAACATCACTCTCAGGTGCCCAGTCTCTCGGCACACAAACCTTCCGATCCACCTCTGCACATCCCCTCAGGTACCTCCCAGTCTCCTGCAACATGCACGCCTCAGTGTGCCCCACCTCTCACATCACCCTCAGGTGCCCCCCAAAGGTCCCCCCCTCTGCAGCATCACCCTCAGGTTCCCCAGTCTCGCAGCAATTCACCTGCTCAAGGTGCCCAGTCTCGTCAGCATCACGTTTTGTGCATAATATCTCCAGCATCAGCACCTCAGGTGCCCCAGCGTCTCTTCCTGCAACCTCACACTCCAGGTGCCACACTCTCTGCAACATCTCTCTCAGGTTCCCCCAGTCTCTGCACATCACCGCAGCGTGCCCCAGGTTCTGCAGCATCACTCCTCATGTGACCACAGTCCTGAAGCATCACCGCCCCAGGTGCCCTCCACAGTCTCTCGAACATCACCTCAGTGCCCCAGTCTCTGAACATCCAGCTCTCTCAGGATGCCCCAGTTTCTACAGCATTCCACTGCTCAGGTGCCCTGCCAGTTTCCTACAGCAATCACTTCTCAGGTGCGCGCAGTCTGCGCAGCATCATTCTCAGGTGCCCCGAAGTCTCTGTCAGCATCACTCTCAGGGTGCCAGTTCTACCGCATTGACTCCTCAGGTGCCC